TTTTCTAGGAATGTAATAGCTACCTTGTAACTCAAGGAAAGAATTGTTATTTTGTTAATAACTCTTTTTTTAAATATTTTTTAGTTGTAGATGGACAAATACCTTTGTTTATTTATTTATTTATTTATTTATTTATTTATTTATTTATTTATTTATTGTGTGATATGAGGATCAAACCCAATGCCTCACACATGCTAGGCAAGCACTCTACCACTGAGCTACAACCCCAGCTCTATAACTTTCTTTTGAGAAAACTCATTACCAGGTGCTGCTTATAGTATTTGATTCACCATCACATATTCTGCCTTTCTCAAATTCATGGTAATTCAGCTAAGCATGTTGGCCCATGCCTGTAATTCCAGTGATACAGGAGGCTGTCTCAGGAGATTCACAGGTTCAAGGACAGTCTGGGTGACTTACCAAGAATGTCTCAAAATAAGACAAAATAGACAGATATGGTGGCATATGCCTGTAATTCCAGTGACTTGGGAGGCTGACATAAGAGGATCACGAGTTCAAAGCCAGCCTCAGCAAGCGAGGCATTTGCAACTCAGGGAGACCCTGTCCCTAAATATAAAAAAGGGCTGGGGATGTGGCTCAGTAATTAAGTACCCCTGAGTTCAATTCCTAATACCAATAAATAAATAAATAAATACAACAAAATAAAAAGGGCTGAGATTGTAGATCAGTAGGAAAGCACCCTGGGTTCAATCCCCAGTAACAGAAAACAAAACAAAACAAAATCACAGTAATTCGATGTGGAAGTAAAGGCATCTAAGGACCTGGAGTGCTTTTGGTCACATTCAGAAGTGAAACACATGAAATTTTATTAAGTTATTTTCTTCTTGCATCTTATGAAATATTATTCTTGTGTTAAGATTAATGCTTTGGGGGCTGGGGATGTGGCTCAAGCGGTAGCGTGCTCGCCTGGCATGCGTGTGGCCCGGGTTCGATCCTCAGCACCACATACAAACAAAGATGTTGTGTCTGCTGAAAACTAAAAAATAAATATTAAAAACAAAACAAAAAAACCAAGATTAATGCTTTAGCCTGGCGCAGTAGTGCACACCTGTAATCCCAGTGGCTTGGGAGGCTGAGGCAGGAGGATCCTGAGTTCAAAGCCAGCCTCAGCAAAAGTGAGGTGCCAAGCAACTCAGTGAGACCCTGTCTCTAAATAAAATATAAAATAGGATTGGGGATGTGGCTCAGTGGTCAAGTACTCCTGAGTTCAATCCCTAGTACCCCACTTAATGCTATTGGTTTTCAGCTATGGCTTTTATTTAAAAAAATTCAAGAAGATATTACAAAATAATTTATAAAAAGGGAAATATTGGGTTTGAGTGAGAACCGCTGAGGTACAGCATGAGGTAGAAGATGCCAAAGAGAGCCAGGCATGGTGGGGCAAGCCTGTGACCTCAGCACCTCGGAAGACTCAGGCAAGATCACAAGTTCGAGTCAACCTTAGTGAGATCTTATCTCAAAGTTTAAAAAAGGGATGGGGATATGGCTCTGTAGGTAAAGCACCCCTGGGTTCAATCCCTAGCATAAAAAATAAATTAAAAAGGGCTAAAGAGGTCTAAGTGCTCCCCTCAACATCCTAGGAGAAGGATATATTATTTTTTTAGTCACTGATGGACCTTTATTTTATTCATTCATTGATATATTGATATATGAGGTGCTGAGAATCGAAGCTAGTGCCTTACACATGCTAGGCAAATGGTCTGCCACTGAGCCACAACCCAGCCCATGAGACAATTCTATTTTACCTCACCTTCACCCTGTGACTTAATGTCACATTTCTTTGCTTAATAACCAGCCAACATGGGGATGGGGGTAGAGATGTGCTTAGCATTAGCAGGTGTGGGGTGCTGCAGAGATGTGCTTAGCATTAGCAGGTGTGGGGTGCTGCAGAGATGTGCTTAGCATTAGCAGGTGTGGGGTGCTGCGTTCAATCCCAGGACCAAGAACAAAGACATAAGCAAAAACATGTGTAGTACATCTCTCAATGGCATTATGTTTTCCTGTAAGCATGGATTAAAAAGTCAAATATGGGCTGGAGCTATAGCACAGTGGCAGAGTGCTTTCCTAGCACACATGAGGTACTAGGTTCTATCCTCAGTACCACATAAAAATAAAATATTGTGTCCACCTAAAAAAACTAAAAAATAAATATTTTTTAAAAATTTAAAAAGTCAAATATGTTCATGAAACTCATCCTCCTTTCCTAACAAGGAGACTGTACAGATTACAAACCTGCCGGATAAATCTGTACAGAAACAGGAGGAATATAAACTAGAATGTTCTGCTCTGCTCCCAGAGAGACTTGGAGCCATATTGCATGGAAATCACTTTAATGGCCTTTTATACCCCCTGCTGATAAAACATATTAGAAAACTGAAAAGAGTTTCATAATGGTAACATATATAATTTTACAATACTGAGTTAGATATTAGAAATGGTGAATTAGATTCTCTATGTCCCTATGGTCTGCATACTTAATATGTGCCTTTTAACAAAAAATTTGTTAATTTGAGAAATAAGTTTGTGGCCACAATGAATGCTCTGTTAGTCACCTTCTCTACTGTTATTTGTGTCTAAAATTCTGCAGTTCAATCTGTAGAACAAGGATAGTGAGTCCCAGACATGACAATTTCTTTTGACTGCCCTTAAAGAGCACTTTATTTACTTACATTTTTGGGTGCTGGGGATAGAACCCAGGGCCTTGCATATGCCAAGCATGTGCTCAAGCACTGAGCAATGCCCCCGGCCCTGACAAAGGAGATCATGAGCGCATGTACTCTGGAGGCAGGATCATTCAAAATACACAGAAGGGCAAATGTAGAGACCTGGCTTTTCTGAAGTGGGCGTAAGCTGGTGTCTCAGCCCGGCCAGGAGAGCATGATCAAAGGCAGAGGGCAGAGCAGGACACAGGCAATAAAAAGATCAGGCTGAAGGATTTCACTGATGACAAGCCAAGGCCGCAGGTTTCCTCCATGTTTCTGGCTGTAGCTAGGTGGGGTCGTGCTTGGCTCTTTTAGGATTCTGTGGGTCTCCAGGCAGGGAATTCCTCCTTGCTGAAAGATTCCTGAGTGAGCACCAGCTCTGTACCTGCTGCAGGCGCAGGGTGAGCTCCTGATCACAGGCCCGTTGAACCGTTTCTGCCTTCTTTATGTCCCAGTTCAAGGCAGCAGCTAACACTCTGGTATCTTCCCTGGTCACCAACTGCAGCAAGAATAAGAACCACTGAGAACCACTCCTGTGCGCTTGTCTGTGCTTTTGTGATTTTCTTTAGGGGAGTAGATTAGGCAACATCAGCTCATGTTTAGGCTGAAAGGCCAGTTTTCTTTCACAGTAAATCTTCAAGTGCTTTCTCTTACCATTCAATACCACCAGGAAATTGAGCCAAGCTCCTGTCAACAACAACTTCCTTCCCTTCTGTCTACAATAGAAGGGCACTTGGGACAGGGACAAGGACAGAGGATGAGGAGGAGCACCCACCCGGATGGGCTTCCTTTGTCCAGCTCCTTGTTGCCTGGCTTTAGATGGCTGACAACTCTGCCTTCTCATGTGCCATTTTACAGACCTCAGGACTGAACTGGCAGCCATCTCGGAAGCTCAAGCCCTGCTTTCTCTCCCTGTCAGCTTTAGTCATTTCATTACCAATCCAAGACCAGAGAATGGTCTTTGATGATCTGAGGACGTGCACATGTTTTCTCTTTAAAGCCATTCTCATTTGACTTAAATTAGGTGTTTGTAAATGCTTTGACATATGATAGGCAAACTGGCAGTTATGTTTTGAGGTCTGCAGAGGTGAAAAGAAACCCCAAACGTGCCCCTCCACGGTCGGTCATACTACTTCTCCAGGGCAGGTCATTTCCTGAGCTTAGTGTCCCTGGGTCTCGCCCACCTCCAAATCCTGATTAGACAAGCTCAGCTCAGGTACAGGCTTCTCTTTCAGCACTGTGAGGATCTGGCCCCTAAGTGCAATTTCAGAGGTGATCTCTCTGCTGACGGCTGTGTCAACTGTATCCACGTCTTCACTGAGGGCAGCTTTGGACTCTGCAAAGCAAATGTGAGAGAGATGAGCACAATTGCAATCACATAGACAGCCCACCAGGTAGAGCAACTGGTTGGGCAAAAGATAAATGTCACTTGAAGTGTTCCTGGCTGCCTGCACGTGGGTCCTTTCTTGAGGGAAGGCTCCTGAGTGCTCAGGGTAGCCCCAGCAAAGTCCTACCTTCCTGCTTTGACAAGATGCCACCCTCCTTTTCCAAGGCCTGCAGATAAAGCTCCAGGAGCTGCTTGGACTGACGGGCTTCCTCTCTCTGGTCAAGCACCTGCTGGAGTGTGTTCTGGAGCCCCTGGACAGTAGCACAGCTTTGGCAGAGTTCCTGAGCCAGGTCTGAACATGGAACGTTGATAAGCACCTAATGAACAAACACATCGAGAAATCGCAAACTACTTTCTTATTTATTTATTTAATTTTATTTTTTTGTGGTGCCAAGGATTGAACCCAGGGCCTTGTGCATGTAAAGTAAGCATTCTACCTACTGAGCTATTCTACCAATTGAGCTATATCCCCAGCCCTAGCAAACTACTTTCTAAACCTGGTGTTCTCTCTCAAAATATATCGATCACAGAACCCATTTCATTTTCCCCAGAGTTCCTATCATGGCTGGCTGAGGGTCAAGAGGGGGCCTGTGATGTTTCCAGTACTCTCCCAGTGTGAAAACTGGGAAGGCGAGACTTTGGTGCCTCATTAAAAACAAAACCATGGGCTGGAGTTGTAGCTCAGTGACAAAGTGCTTGCCTAGCATATGTGAGGCTCTGGGTTCGATTCTCAGTACTGCATATAAATAAATAAAATAAGGTCCATTGACAACTATTAAAAAAAATATGATGCTGTTGTAAGCAAAAGTTCCTCTCTTTCACCTTAAATACTTAAATTCTTGTTTACTTTTTTAAAGCTTTAAGTTTTTTTTTTCTTTTTTTTTTTTCAGAGGGAGGAGTTACTGGGGATGCTCAACCACTAAGCCACATCCCCACCCTTTTTATTTTGAGATGGGGTCTCACTAAGTACCTGAGAACCTAAACAGATACTTCTCAGAAGAAGATATACAATCAACAATTATATGAAAAAATGTTCATCATCTCCAGCAATTAGAGAAATGAAAATCAAAACTACTCTAAGATTTCATCTCCCTCCTGTCAGAATGGCAGCTATTAAGAATACAAACATCAGTAAGTGTTGGTGAGGATGTGGGGGAAAAGGCACACTCATACATTGCTGGTGGAACTGCAAATTGGTGTAGCCAATATGGAAAGCAGTGTGGAGATTCCTTGGAAAACTGGGAATAGAACCACCATTTGACCCAGCTATTCCACTCCTTGGTCTATACCCAAAGGACTTAAAAATAGCATACTACAGGGAGACAGCCACATCAATGTTTACAGCAGTATAATTCACAATAGCTAAACTGTGGAATCAACCTAGATGCTCCTCAGTAAATGAATAGATAAAAAAAAAATGTGACATATATATACAATGGAATATTACTCAGCATTAAAAGAGAATAAAATCATGGCATTTGCAGGTAAATGGATGGAGTTGGAGAAGATAACACTAAATGAAGTAAGCCAATCCCCCCAAAACAAATGTTGAATGTTTTCTCTGATATAAGGAGACTGATTCATAGTAGGGTAGGGAGGGGGGAGCATGGGAGGAAGAGATGAACTCTAGGTAGGGCAGAGGGGTGAGGGGGAAGGGAGGAGGCAGGGGGTTAGCAAGGATGATGGAATGTGATGGACATCATTATCCAAAGTACAGGTATGAAGACATGTAAAAAGAAGGTGGTTCATTTTTTTTTTTTTTTTTGTATATACAGCACTAGATTAAAAGTAATCTTTACAAGAAAAAGACCAGAGCTGGGGTTAAAGCTCAGTTGGTAGAGTATTGCCTTGCATGCACAAGGCCCTGGGTTTAAGCCTCAGCACCACATACACACACACACATACAAAAAAAAAAGAAAGAAAGAAAAAGACCAAACTGCTAACATTTGGGTAGTGGCTCTAAAGTCAGCTGTGTGTCAGCCCTCATGTGGATGGAGCTCAATAAAAACACTCCGATCAAAAGCCTGCATTTTTTGAGTACTAGATTGGGAAGGGCCTCTCTGAGGAAAAGACTTTAGTTTTAAATTTTATGTTGCATCAATTATTGAACAGGTAATATTAATATATTCACAAGATTCAGAATTCAAGAGGTATAAACCTTACAAGAGAGGTACTAGCATAATCCCATTTTACAGATGTGGAAAATGAGGCAAGAGAGGGCAAGTGACTTCCCCAAAATCAGTCTTATTCTAAGACTCTCACCATGTGTAAATGATTTCTATGCTCTTTCCTTTCCTTTCACCTGTCCTTAAGGCCCTCAGTGCCCTTGGCCTCAAGTTTTTCCTTTATCTGTGGGTGTCCAGCCTCATAAGCTCTCTTTGAGTGTCCTAAGTTTCCCTCAGGGTTCAGGCTCTGACCAGCAACTCACAAGGTGATGTTTCTATTCAGGTAAGGCCTATGGTGCTCCCCATTCAAAGGATCCATTGCAACATGCTAGTCTGTTGAGGTGGGAAGAAAGGTCATGATCACTTTCTTTTTTTTTCTTTTCTTTTTTGGTACCAGGGATTGAACCCAGGGGTGCTTAATCACTGAGCCACATCCCCAGCCCTTTTTTTTATTTTTTTATTTTGAGACAGGATCTTGCTAAATTGCTTAAGGCCTTGCTAAGTTGCTGAGGTTGGCTTTGAACTTGCAATCCTCCTGCCTCAGCCTCCCTAGTTGCTGGGATTACAGGTGTGTGCCACCACGTCTGGCTCTTTTCTTTCCTTTTTATTGCAGTACTGGGGATCAAACCCAGGGCTTCACATGTGCTAAGCAAGTGTCAGCCCATTTTTCATTGCTGAGGCTAGTTTTGAACTTGGATCTTCCAATCTCATTCTCCAGAGTAGTTAGGATTACAGGTGTGCCTGTTCTGTTTCTTAAAAAAAAATAGATAAGGAAGGCTCCTGACTTCCCTCTGCTTGGAACATTGGCTCCAAACTTCCTATGCAGGATCCATCTTGTCCTGTAGCTTTTAGTTTAATTGTCACCTCTTGGGAACCTGCCAATATTTATCAAATGCATGTACCCTTTAATTTAGCAGTTACACCTGTAAATTTATTTTACGGATAAGTGACTGTGTAAAATGACCTTGGTGTGCACTCTTGCAGTACTGTCTGTAATAGCAAGACAGATGGCAATCCAAATGTCCAAGTTTGGGAGGGTTTTTTTCCTTTCTTTTTGTACTAGGATTAGAACCCAGGGGGAACTTTACCACTGAATTACATCTCCAGTCCTTTTTGTGTTTTATTTTGAGACAGGGTCTTGCTAAATTGCTGAGGCCTTGAACTCGAGATCCCCCTGCCTCAGCCTCTCAAGTTGCTGGGATTATAGACATGCAGTACTATACCTGGTTTGTGAGTCCTTTTTGTTCAACATACTGAAATATAATTCATATGCCATTTGATTCATTCATTCAGTGGGTTTTAGTATAAAATACAATAGGTTTAGTATGCCCATAGTGTTATGTAACCACCAGTACAATCAATTTTAGAATGTTTTCACCATAGGCTTGGAGTATAGCTCAGTAGTAGAGCATGTGCTTAGCATGTGTGAGACCATGAGTTCAATCCCCAGCACTAAATAAAAACATACATACACATATGCATTTTTTTACCACCCTGAAAAGAAACCCATTAGCAATTACTTCATATTCTTCCTTAGTGCCCCAGCCCAACACTAAACTACTCTCCTTCTCTATGGATCTGCATATTCTGGCCATTTCATATAAATGTAATCATGAATTATGTGCACTTTGTGACTGGCTTCTTTCACTCTGTGTAATGTTTTCAAGGCTCATCCTATTTTATTTATTTTTTGGTGGTGCTGGGGATTGAACCCAGGGCCTTGTGCATGTGAGGCAAGCACTCTACCATGTAAACCATATCCCTAGTCCCAAGGATCATCCTATTTTAACGTGCACTAATATTCCATTTTTTATGGCCAAATAAGATTCTGCAGTATAGACTTCCTATATTTTGTTTATTCATTCATCAATTGATGGACATTTGAGTAATTTTCACTTTTTGGCTATCTGTAGAACTTTGTTTCTATACCTCTTGGATTTTGAAACATATGAATATATTCATATCCTTTATTCCCAAATAAATATGTAAATTTTAAAATGACCAAAAAGTCACTTCCATACCAATTCAGTACCATACTCCCAGTGCTCAGAGCCAGGTGAAGCCCAGGAGAGAGATTCAATCAATAGTTTTTAAATGAAAACATACTTTTTTCCTGAAACCCAACTTCACTGGAGAGGAATGCAAGAAATCAGGCTACTGCCACATAGTCAAAAAGACAGCTGGAATTTGAGTCCAGCTACTCCAACTCTACATTCCTTAGCAGCACATCCCTAACCTCCATGGTCCACCTAGACAGGTATAGGGTGGAGCCGGGGCATCTGTATTTAAAAAAAAATCCACAGGTGACTTTGATGCATGGTGAGGAATGAATAAGGGCTACTCAGCTGGCATAGTGGCGCAGGCCGGTAATTCCAGCTATTTGGCAGGCTGAAGCAGGAGGATTGCAAGTTTGAGGTCAGCCTGGGCAACTTATGAGACAGTGTCTCAAAATGAAAATTTTAAAAAAAGGTCTGGGGATGTAGTTCAGTGGTAGAGTGCTTGCCTAGCTTGTGTGAGGTGCTGGATTTAATCCCCAGTACTGTTGAAAAACATCCTCACCTCAAAAAAACCTACTGTAGGTGATCATCATAAAATGAAGACTCTGGGCTGGGGATGTGGCTCAAGTGGTAACGTGCTCACCTGGCATGCGAGGGGTGCTGGGTTCCATCCTCAGCACCACATAAAATAAAATAAAGATGTTGTGTCCACCGAAAACTGAAAAATAAATATTAAAAAATTCTCTCTCTCTCTCTCTCTCTCTCTCTCTCTCTTTTCTCTCTTTAAAAAAAATGAAGACTCTTAGTTATAATGTAAAAATTATTTAAAAATTAGGAAAATGATTGGGGTACAGTGCTTGCCTAGCATGCACAAAGTCCTAGGTTCAATTCCAGGACTTCAAAAAATAAAAAATGAAAAAATAATAGTTAAGAATTAAGAAATAATGAAATTATTATGGGAAGAGGCCTAGAAGCTAAGAAGGGGCTGGGGACTACAGAGGCTGGGTGAGAGCTGGGTTTAATCAAGGGCTTACTTGAAGGTCTTCCTCTGACAGCAGGATGATGCTGGACAGATCTTGTTTCAGTTGCCTGGCCACATTCTTCCACCTCAGTCCTGCCCCACTGTCTGTTTCGTCGATATCAACGGACTCTTGGGAAATCCAAGCTGTACCTCCATCTGATATTTAGGAGAAAATGCTGTCAGAGTCACTTCAAGTACCGTTTTCACCTCCTTGGTTAGCACAGACCTCTGGAGGATGTGTGTGTCCCTCCCACTGACCACTAAGGACAGTTTCAATGAGGAAGAAAGAACCTGCTCTTAAGGATTCTCAGGAAAGTAAAAAATCTCTATCTAGGATCTTAAATTTTTTTCTTCAATTTATTTTTGTGTAAAACTGCTCTGTATTCCTCTATGGAAAAGACACCTAACCCCAACATGTAGTCATGTATGGTCCCAGGATCCTACCACACCTCCCTTTTTTTGCTTTTATATAGGAAAACACTCATTCTCACCAGTGCTTCTCCCATATGTGGACTGGTTCCATCCTTAAAGAGCAAGCCATTGCTTGCTGCCCCTTGGGCACAAGTACAATAGTGGCTGGAGAGCCATTGCTAAAGGCTGATTTCCCCAATTTAGTAGCAATGACTTTTCTGAATATATTTCTTTAATTCTTTGATCCTTGACTGCTAATAGTATTTACCTTTTATTTATGTTTTGGGGTACTTCACAACTGAGCTACGTCCCCAGTCCTTTTTTATTTTGTTTTATTTGGAGACAGGGTCTCACAAAGTTGCTGAGGCTGTCCCTTAACTTGTGATCCTCCTGCCTCAACCTCTCAAGTTCCTGGGATTCTCTGTTAGTTGCCTTTGCATCTCAAGTGATGATGATGACAGTGATAGGTAACATTTACTGAGCCCTTACCATGTGTCAGGTAGGATCTAAATGCATTTGACAATGTCTGGTTGTCAAAGCTGTGGCAGGGACATTGAGTGATAAGAGGCAAGGAAGTTGCTAAACATTCTACTATGCACACAACAGCCTCTCCACAACAGAGGATTCTCTGGCTTAAAATGTCAATGGTATTATTGAGAAGCCTTGGTTTGGTACTATATTATCCATATGTTGATCCTAGGAGACAGGCACTGAAATTATCATGACAGTAAGTATCACCTCGCTAGTAAATGGCAGAGCCTTTTTACTAGCCTCACTAGTAAACAGATCAGACCCAGGCAGCCTGATCCAGTCTGGTGTACTGTGAATGAGTTGAGAACTACACCACACTCCTCTTTAATCCCAGGACTTGGCACCTGTCTGGCGCACAGAAGGTGCTCAGGTAAACATTTGCTGGATAAATGCTTAAACAGCAAAATGGCAATCAGATGCCTGTGCAGTGAAATCAATTATGATGACAATGATGTCATACACAGCCAGTGTTCCTCACCTGAATTGCTGTATGTCCACTTCTCATTACTGGCCAATGCCACAAACTTTGTGTTGGAAGGCAGACAGAGGAAGTAATCATCATCATCCACTATGGTACCATCCTCCGCTAGGACCAGAGTGACTGGTGTCAGGGACTTGTCAATGGCCAGAATGTCACAGGCTAAGAA